GGTGGATCACGCTCTCTCATTGATGATGATGATGATGATGATGATGATGATGATGATGATGATGATGATGATGACACTGATGATGACGATGATGATGACGATGATTATGATGGTGATGATGATGATGTTGATGATGATGATGATGCTGATAATGATGATGATGATGATGATGATGATGATGATGATGATGATGATGATGCTGATGATGATGATGATGGTGGTGATGATGATGATGGCGATGATGATTATGATGATGATGCTGATGATGATGATGATGATGTTGATGATGATGATGATGATGCTGATGATGATGATGATGATGATAATGATGATGATGATGATGATGATGATGATGATGATGATGATGATGATGATGATGATGATGATGATGATGATGGATGATGATGATGATGATGATGATGATGATGATGATGATGATGATGATGATGATGATGATGATGATGATGATGATGAATGATGATGATGATGATGATGATGATGATGATGATGATGATGATGATGATGATGTTGGAGTGGTTGTCGGTGGTGGCAGTGGTGGAGGAGCTCCTCCTCCTGCTCCTCCTCCTCCTCCCTCGGGGCCTTCTCCCCATCCCCCTCCTCCTCCTCCTCCTCCTCCTCCTCCTCCTCCTCCTCCTCCTCCTCCTCCTCTTCCTCCTCCTCCTCCTCGTCCTCCTCCTGGGTTCCCCTCTCGTCCACGCTGTCCTGCGTCCTGGTGCCCCCCTGCTCCTGCCGCTCCTCGTCGGCTCCCCCGTGGCCGTCCGGCCGCCAGGTTCTGCATGCAGCTCCACGAGCGCGGCCTCCGTGGCGCCCGCGGGGGCGGGCAGTACCGCGCGGCTCCCCAGGTGGTGGGCGCGGTGAAGCAGAACTCTGACCCTGACGGCGGCGACGGCGACGACGACGAGAGCGATGATGCTGGTGATGGCGATGATGCTGATGCTGATGCTGATGTTGATGCTGATGCTGCTGATAATGATAATGCTGACGCTGATGCTGCTGCTGATGATGCTGATGATGAGGAGGAGGAGGATGCTGATGCTGATGATGCTGATGATGCTGATGATGCTGATGATGATGAGGAGGCTGATGATGCTGATGTGGATGATGATGGTGAGGAGGAGAAGGACGAGGAGGCGGAGGAGGAGATGAAGGAAGAGGAGCATGAAGATGAGGATGGGGATGAGGATGCTGCTGCTGATGATGATGATGCTGACGATGATGATGATGATGTTGATGATGATGATGATGATGATGATGATGATGATGATGTTGATCATGATGCTGATGATGGTGATGCTGCTGCTGCTGCTGATGATGATGATGATGCCGATGCTGATTTGTAGCACTACTGATGCTGGTACTGATCGTTGCGGTATTGATGATGCTGGTGATGATGATGCTGATGATTATAAGGGTGACGTTGGTTAGGATGATGCTGCTGATGATGATTATGCGGATGCTGATAGATGTGATCATGATTGTGAAGGTGGTTGTGATGATGATGAGGAGGCAGTGGAGGAGGATGTGGGCTGATGTTGCTCACGACGATGGTGATGACGAGGAGGAAGATGATGATGCTGACGCTGATGGTGATGCATGAGGGTGCTGCTGCTGATGATGATGAGGATGATGAGGATGAGGACGATTATGCTAATGATGAGGACGATGATGCTGCTGCTGCTGCTGATGATGATGATGATGATGATGATGATGATGGAGATGGTGGTGGTAGTGATGATGCCGATGCTGAGTTGTAGTACTACTGATACTGGTGCTGATCGTGGCAGTGATGTGGTTGATGATGATGCTGATGCGAATGATGATGTTGCTGACGATGGTGCTGATGATGCTGCTGATGATGATGATACTGATGCTGACGTTGAATATGATGATGCTGACGATGCAGATGATGCTGTTACCGATGCTGGTGATGATGCTGCTGATTCTGACTATGTCGATGATGATGAGGCTAGCGCTGCTGATGATGCTGATGACAACAGAGTACGGTGGTGATAATATTGATGATGCTGCTGTTGATGCCGATGATGATGATGAGGATGCTGCTGTATATGATGATGCTGCTAGTGAGGGGGGGGACATTGATGACGATGATGATGCTGATGATGATGGTACTGATCACGACACTGATGATTCTGGTGATGATGCTGCTGATTATGATGATGATGATGCTGATGATGCTGATGCTGCTGCTGATGATGATGCTAATGATGCTGATGATGGTGCTGATGATGCTGCTAACGAGGATGATGCTGCTGATCATGATTATGCTTCTGATTGTGGTGCTGCTGGTGATGATGATGCTGATGGTGATGATGATTATGGTGATGCTGCTGATGATGCTGATGACGCTGCTGATGCTGCTGATGCTCATGATGACGATGATGACGATGATGATGGTGATGCTGATGATGACGGTGCTGATGATGAATGCGACTGTGATGATGATGATGTTGGTGATGCTGAGGATGATGATGAGGGGGAGACGGTGGAGGACAATGATACATAAGGAAGGCCAAGATGGTGACGATGCTGCTGATGATGCGGACGATGATAATGATGCTGATGCTGATGCTGTTGCTGATGATGCTGCTGATGATGATTTCGTTGGTGATGCTGCTGATGATGCTGTTGATGGCGATGCTGCTGATGCTGATGATGCTGATGCTGATGAGGATCCTGACTATAATGATGCTGATGACGATGCTGATGATGGTGACAATGCTGGCAGTGATGTTGCTGATGCTGATGCTGATGCAGATGACGATGACGATGGTGATGATGATGCGGATGATGATGATGCTGATGATGATGATGATGATGATGATACTGATGATGCTGCTGAGGATGATGCTGGTGATGCTGACGATGATGATGCTGATCATGCTGATGATGCTGTTGACGATGATGATGCTGATGAGCATGATTATGTTGATAATGCTGATGATGATGACTATGAGGATGAGTATGATGCTGATGCTGATCATGATGATGTTGATTATGATGCTGATGCTGCTGATGCCGATGGTGGTGATGATGATGCTGATGACGATACTGATTGATGATGCTGATCATGATGATGATGACCATGCTGATGCTGATACTGATGCTGCTGATGATGGTGATGCTGATATTGACGGTGATTATTCTTATTCTTATGATTATGCTGGTGATAATGGTGTTGATTATGGTGATGCTGCTGATGATGATGACGATGATGATGCTGATGAGTTGGAGGAGGAGGAGGATGAGGAGGATGAAGATGAGGAGGAGGATGCGGATCAGGAGGAGGAGAAGGAGGAGGAAGCGTAGGTGAAGGCGGGGTAGGGGGACGGCGAGGAGGAGAAGGAGGAGGGTGAGGGGGAGGAGGTGTAACGATAGCCTAAGCCGGCAGATCAGAAGGGGCGGATGTCGTGGGTGAGGTGGACGGGTGGTTGTTGGAGGCGGAGGCGGATGAGGAGGAGGAGGAGGAGGAGGCGGAGGAGGAGGAGGAGGAGGAGGCGGAGGAGGAGGAGGAGGAGGAGGAGGAGGAGGGAGAGGAGGAGGAGGAGGAGGAGGAGGAGGAGGAGGAGGCGGAGGAGGAGGAGGAGGAGGAGGAGGAGGACGAAGACCAGACGGCGCTCCCTCCCACCTGCCCCAAGCGGACAGTGACAGCCCGACGTCTTCGACGAGGAACCCTCCTGCTTGCGCCCTCGCCACACGTTTTCGCTCGCCATTCAGCGCGTTGCCTCACACGCGCAAAACACATCGTTCACATTGGGATCGAAGACGCCTACGGCGAGTCTTCGCCGCCCCCTGCCTTCCTGGGGATGCTGATCTGGCCAAACGTTTAGCCAATCAATGGCCCAGCTATTGGACTATGTATTCCCCCCCAGCCGTGGTGGAGACCCTTGGGGGAAGGACGAGTTGTGAAGGAAGAGGGGGGAGCAGGAGGATGATGATGCTGATGATGATGAGGAGGAGGAGCAGGAGGAGGAGGAGGGGGAGGAGGGGGAGGAGGAGGAAGGACGAGTTGTGAAGGAAGAGGGGGGAGCAGGAGGATGATGATGCTGATGATGATGAGGAGGAGGAGCAGGAGGAGGAGGAGGGGGAGGAGGGGGAGGAGGAGGAGGAGGAGGAGGAGGAGGAGGGGAGGAGCAGCAGGAGGAAGGGAGGATAAGGAGGAGGAGGAGGAGGATAAGGATGATGATGATGAGGAGGAAGAGGAGACGGAGGAGGGGGGGAGGAGGGAGAGGATTGGGAGCAGGAGCAGGAGGAGGCGGAGGTAGAGGAGGAATACTTAGGAGGACGAGGAGGAGGAGGAGGAGCTGGAGGAGGCGGAGGAGGAGGAGGAGGAGGAGCAGGAGGCAGAGGAGGTGTAGGAGGAGGAGGAAGCAGGAAGCAGGAGGAGGAGGAGGAGGGGGCGGGGTCGGAGGAGGAGGAGGAGGAGAGGAATGATGATGCTGATGCTGATGATGATGATGATGCTGATGATGATGATCATGATGATGATGCTGATGAGGATGATGATGATGATGGTGATGATGCTGATGATGCTGGTGATGATGATGATGAGGAGGAGGTGGATGAGGAGGAAGAGGAGGAGGAGGATGAGAGGGATGATGATGCTGATGATGATGCTGCTGATGATGCTGATGCTGATGCTGATGAATATGATGATGCTGATGACGATGATGATGCTGGTGCTGTTGCTGATGCTGATTATGCTGATGATGGTGATGATGCTGATGCTGCTGATGACGATGATGATGATGGTGATGATGATGATGATGATGATGATGATGGTGATGCTGATGATGATGATGCTGATGATGATGATGACAATGATGGTGATGCTGATAATGATCCTGCTGCTGATGCTGATGATGAAGATGAGGAGGAGGAGGTGGAGGTGGAGGTGGAGGAGGAGGAGGAGGAGGAGCAGGAGGAGAGGGAGGAGAAGGAGGAGGTGGAGGAGGAGGAGGAGGAGGCGAAGGAAGAAGAAGCCCTCTTGAGGCCCCTCTCTCGTCGGCCCGAAAGGCATGTGGCGGCTGATATCTTTGGACGCTTGTCGTCGATGTTGTTCTGGTGAGACATTGGCCGCCCTGGTCGCCTCTCTCCGAACTATCCCCTCGTGCTCTCCGCCAATGGGGCCAGAGAAGGGGGAGGTGGTCGAGGCCAGCCGTGGCAACGTGCTCGAGTGCCTCAACATTGTGCTGGACCTGGCGCCCTCCCCCGCGACGTCCAGCACCGCTGGGAAGGCACGGGCAGGAGAGGGGGAATGCTGCTGCTGATGATGATGCTGCTGCTGATGATGCTGATGATGATGCTGATGCTGAGGATGATGCTGATGATGATGCTGATGATGCTGCTGCTGATGATGATGGTGATGATGCTGGTGATGATGCTGGTGCTGATGATGATGATGATGATGATGATGATGAGGATGAGGATGAGGATGAGGATGATGATGATGATGATGATGATGATGATGATGATGATGATGATGATGATGATGATGATGATGATGATGATGATGATGATGATGATGATGATGATGATGATGATGATGATGATGATGATGAAGATGCAGGATGGGGCTTATACCCCATCCCTCCAGGGCGCTTTCGGCCTCCAGGGGCCGCTTTCGGGTTCCAGGGCCATCGGCAAAGGCGACCAGGAGCGAGCGAACAGTCCAAGTGATGGGGCCGAGAGTTCAATGAGGGCTCACGCCACCACCAAAGCGGTGCAGTCGGCTGCCTAGGGTTATAGAGAACCGGGGAGTGGAGCCGGAACGGGAGAGGGCCAGCGGGAGAGGGAAGGGGAGGGAAATCAGAGCAGGCGCAAAAACATGCGAGGGGGAAGGGGCAGGATGATGATGTTGATGCTGATGATGATGATGATGATGACGACGATGACGACGACGACGGCGATGATGATGATGCTGATGCTAATGATGCTGATGCTGACGCATGCTGTTGCTGCTGGTGCTGTTGCAGATTGCGGTGGCGATTGTGACGGTGGTGGTGACGGTGCTGGTAATGGTTGTTGTGGTGGAGATTATGCAAGCGATGATAATGATGGTGGTGATTCGGATGATGATGATGATGCTGATGATGATGACGATGATGATGATGATGATGATGATGATGATGATGATGATGATGATGATGATGATGATGAGGATGATGATGGTGATGCTGATTATGATGGTGGTGGTGATGATGACGGTGGTGATAATGGTGATGATCACTAATCTGATGGCGGGTGGCGACAGTGAGGATGACGACGATTGCTTATGTGATAACGACGATGACGACAATGACGATGGCGAGGCCGTCGTCGACGATGGTGGAGATACTGACGTCGGTGGTGATATCTAATCATGATCAGTTTGTGTGTTCAGTAGTCGTAAGCATCGTGGTATTAGGAACAATACCCTGGAGGCGCTTGTGTGATCCCTGGCGGTGTTGATGTGGGTGCGGACGATGATATGAGTAGGGGGAGAATGGAGAAGTGCAGGCTTTCCTTGGAACAGGTTTTCATACGACTTGAGCGTCGACGACGACGCTGATGGTGGTACTGACGATGATGACGATGCTGACGAGGATAATGATCCCGATCTTGAACTTGTTGACGACGCTGAGGCTGCAGAGGTCGAGGAGCATGAGCGGGAGGTCGAGAGAGAGAGAGGGACAGGGGCAGCAATGGGAGAACGGACGGATGCAGCATGGCTGGGAATGCGGACGGGGAGGGCGAGGGACGTATTGAGGAGGGCGGAGGGAACGGGAGGAGGGAGAGGGGCAGGGTGGGGGTGGGCGAAGACCGACGACGTGCCGGGTGGATACCACACGACAGTTTGGGAAGTCTGGTGCGATGGACACAACGATGCGCGAACGTGGCGGCCCAGACGAGGAATGCGGTCGTGGGCTCGAGGAGAGAGAGGCACCTGCAATGAGTGACTGTAGGTGGGAGGGGGAGGCATGGGTTCCGCGGTTCGGTCGGTTCGGCTGCGTCGCAGTCGGTGATGTTCGGTTCGGGTCGGTTCGGTCCCGTCGGTCGTTGCGTCGTTGCTGCGCCGCCGCGTCCCTCCCGGCTGCAAGCACCCCGTCGGATCTGGTCTCGCTGCAGGCTCCGTCTGTGTTCGGTTCTGGTGTCGCCGTGGAGGCATCTGGGATGGAGAGGGTTCTCTGGGGCCTCTTCAGGTCCTTCTCTGGGGTCCTCCCCCCGGGCCGTCCTGGGCCGTCCCGAGGGGTGTCGGCGCAGGCGCTTCGTGTCGGCTCTGAGCAGGGCCGCCGCCTCTTCGACGGGCCCATCCGATCTCTTCCTTCGAACTGATTTCGTTTCTGTGTTCGCACGGCCTGTTTCGCAGAGAGGAGGAGGAGGAGGAGGAGGAGGAGGAGTGAGGGAGAGGAGGAGGAGGAGGGGAGGAGGAGGAGGAGGAGGAGGAGGAGGAGGAGGAGAGGAGGAGGATGAGGAGGAGGAGGAAGGAGGAGGAGGAGAAGGATGAGAGGAGGAAGGAGGAGGGAAGGAGGAGGAGGCAGGAGGCGGAGGAGGAGGAGGAGGAGAGGGGAAGGAGGAGGAGGAGGAGGAGGAGGGGGAGGAGGAGAGTGAATGGATGAGGAGGAGGAGGATGGAGGAGGAGGAGGAGGAGGAGGGAGGATGAGGAGGAGGAGAGGAGGAGGAGGGGAGGAGGGAGGAGGGAGGAGGAGGGGAGGAGGATGAGGAGGAGGGGGAGGAGGAGGAGGAGGAGGAGGAGGAGGAGGTAGGAGGAGTGGAGTGGAGGTGGAGTGGAACCGCCGTGCGATGCAAGTGGAGGAGGAGAGGAAGTAGGAGGTAGGTGGAGGATGAGGAGGAGGAGGAGAGGAGGAGGAGGAGGAGGAGAGGAGAGGGGGAGGAGGAGGACGAGGGGGAGGAGGAGGAGGAGGAGGAGGAGGAGGAGGAGGAGGAGCGAGGAGAGAGGAGGAGGAGGAGGAGGAGGAGGCGGAGGAGGAGGAGGAGGAGGAGGATGAGGAGGAGGAGGAGGAGGCAGGAAGGAGGAGGAGGAGGAGGAGGAGGAGGAGGGGGAGGAGGCGGAGTCTTGAGCAATGGCAGAGCGCCCTGGCCGGCCCGCGGGCCCGCCAAAGAGTGTTAGAAGGGCCTCTCGAGGTCTGCACGGCGTGTTCTCAGGTCACTTCTGCCCGAGACCGACTCCTTGTAATGCATCGGGTTGATGCTCTAAGAGCATTGTTGTGATTGTTGTTGCTATTGTTATTGCTGCTGCTGCTGCTGCTGCTGTTGTTGTTGTTGTTGCTATTGTTGTTGTTGTTGTTGTTGTTGTTGTTGTTGTTGATGTGGTTGTTGTTGTTGCTGCTGATGCTGGAGTTGCTGTAATTGTTGTTGTTGTTGCTGCTGATGTTGTTGCTGTTGTTGCGGTTGTTGTTGTTGGTGTTGTTGTTGTTATCTTAATTGTTATTATTGTTGTTGCTGTTGTTGTTGTTGGTGTTGTTGGTGTTGTTGTTGTTGTTGTTGTTGTTGTTGTTGTTGTTGTTGTTGTTGTTGTTGTTGTTGTTGTTGTTGTTGTTGTTGTTGTTGTTGTTGTTGTTGTTGTTGTTGTTGTTGTTGTTGTTGTTGTTGTTGTTGTTGTTGTTGTTGTTGTTGTTGTTGTTGTTGTTGTTGTTGTTGTTGTTGTTGTTGTTGTTGTTGTTGTTGTTGTTGTTGTTGTTGTTGTTGTTGTTGTTGTTGTTGCTGCTGATGCTGCTGTTGTTGTTGTTGCTGTTGATGCTGCTGATGTTGTTGTTGTTGGTGTTGTTGCTGCTGTTGTTGTTGCTGCTGACAAGTCATCGTTTCTAAAGAACCATTGTCTCTGTTCAATTGTCTCTGTTCAATTGTTTATGTTCAATTGTTTCTGTTCAAGTGATCCCTCCCCCGATAACCATTGTCTCTGTTCAATTGTAGTGCCTCCTCGGGGCTCGCACTCTTTTTTATCAGGGAAAGCTGGATGTCACCAGACTGTGCCCCTTGCCCCCGACTTGAACAACAACGGTCCAGCATCGCGCTCTCGCGCGGGACTTCATCACAACTTGTGCAGGAATCGCGCTCTCGCGTGGGACGTATTCGCAATTTGTTCAGACGTCTAGACGCCGCGCCCTCGACACTCATGAATCACGCTCTCGCATTGGCCTTTCTCGCGATGTACTTGGGAATCGCGCTATTGCTCGAGTTCTCCTCACGATTCATGCAGTACTCGCGCTTCAGCAACGCGTCTTCTCGACCTGGTCGCTCGGGCCCGCCTTCCCGACCCGCCCGTTTGTGTCCACCCGCCCGATGGGCCCGTCTGGTTCTGCCATTTGTTTTTTGCTCCTAGCCCCCCTCCTGCTAAACCCGTGCTCCATCCTTCCCTCCCCCTTCCATCCGTCCTCTCTTCCCTGTTTCAGGGGCTGCGCCAATTGCATACGGCAGGTAAGGAAGATATGCCTGTATGGGGGTACGATCGAAGACGAACAGGGCGGGTATCGATCGAAGACGAATAGCACGCGAGCAGGTAAGAGCGAACAGTCTTAAACCGAGTGGTGATGTTGTTGTTGAGCTCTCATTATTGAAGAAGAACTATTGTTGATCCCCCCTCCGGTGCACATCGTATGTTTCAATTGAAGTGCCCCTCCCGGCGCTCGCACCCTGTTTTTCCCAACCATCCTGTGGTGTTGGGTCCTCGTTTTGAAGAGACGGTGCCCCGCGTTCCTCTCCTTCCTCTCCTCCTCCCTCCTCCCCCTCCTTGCCTCTGCTCTCGGCACACCTCTCACGCGTTTCGTAGCCCCATAGGGAGCTCCACCGAAGGCCCCAGTGGGGGTGTTCGCATGCGGTTCCCCCACCCAGGGCAGCGTTTCGTGGCCCCATAGGGAGCTCCACCGAAGGCCCCAGTGGGGGTGTTCGCATGCGGTTCCCCCACCCAGGGCAGCGTTTCGTAGCCCCATAGGGAGCTCCACCGAAGGCCCCAGTGGGGGTGTTCGCATGCGGTTCCCCCACCCAGGGCAGCGTTTCGTAGCCCCATAGGGAGCTCCACCGAAGGCCCCAGTGGGGGTGTTCGCATGCGGTTCCCCCACCCAGGGCAGCGTTTCGTGGCCCCATAGGGAGCTCCACCGAAGGCCCCAGTGGGGGTGTTCGCATGCGGTTCCCCCACCCAGGGCAGCGTTTCGTGGCCCCATAGGGAGCTCCACCGAAGGCCCCAGTGGGGGTGTTCGCATGCGGTTCCCCCACCCAGGGCAGCGTTTCGTAGCCCCATAGGGAGCTCCACCGAAGGCCCCAGTGGGGGTGTTCGCATGCGGTTCCCCCACCCAGGGCAGCGTTTCGTGGCCCCATAGGGAGCTCCACCGAAGGCCCCAGTGGGGGTGTTCGCATGCGGTTCCCCCACCCAGGGCAGCGTTTCGTGGCCCCATAGGGAGCTCCACCGAAGGCCCCAGTGGGGGTGTTCGCATGCGGTTCCCCCACCCAGGGCAGCGTTTCGTGGCCCCATAGGGAGCTCCACCGAAGGCCCCAGTGGGGGTGTTCGCATGCGGTTCCCCCACCCAGGGCAGCGTTTCGTGGCCCCATAGGGAGCTCCACCGCAGGCCCCAGTGGGGGTGTTCGCATGCGGTTCCCCCACCCAGGGCAGCGTTTCGTAGCCCCATAGGGAGCTCCACCGAAGGCCCCAGTGGGGGTGTTCGCATGCGGTTCCCCCACCAGGGCAGCGTTTCGTGGCCCCATAGGGAGCTCCACCGAAGGCCCCAGTGGGGGTGTTCGCATGCGGTTCCCCCACCCAGGGCAGCGTTTCGTAGCCCCATAGGGAGCTCCACCGAAGGCCCCAGTGGGGGTGTTCGCATGCGGTTCCCCCACCCAGGGCAGCCTTTCGTAGCCCCATAGGGAGCTCCACCGAAGGCCCCAGTGGGGGCGTTCGCATGCGGTTCCCCCACCCAGGGCAGCGTTTCGTGGCCCCATAGGGAGCTCCACCGAATGACCCCAGTGGCATTGGGGGTGTTCGCGATGCGGTCGCCCCACCCAGGGCAGCGTTTCGTAGCCCCATAGGGAGCTCCACCGAAGGGCCCCAGTGGGGGTGTTCGCATGCGGTTCCCCCACCCAGGGCAGCGTTTCGTAGCCCCAGAGGGAGCTCCACCGAAGGCCCCAGTGGGGGTGTTCGCATGCGGTTCCCCCACCCAGGGCAGCGTTTCGTGGCCAGGAACTCCACCGAAGGCCCAGTGGGGGTGTTCGCATGCGGTTCCCCCACCCAGGCAGCGTTTCGTAACCCCATAGGGACTCCACCGAAGGCCCCAGTGGGGGTGTTCGCATGCGGTTCCCCCACCCAGGGCAGCGTTTCGTGGCCCCATAGGGAGCTCCACCGAAGGCCCCAGTGGGGGTGTTCGCATGCGGTTCCCCCACCCAGGGCAGCGTTTCGTGGCCCCATAGGGAGCTCCACCGAAGGCCCCAGTGGGTGCTCTCGCATGCGGTTCCCCCACCCAGGGCAGCGTTTCGTGGCCCCATAGGGAGCTCCACCGGAGGCCCCAGTGGCTGTCTCGCATGCGGTTCCCCCACCCAGGGCAGCGCTTCGTGGCCCCATGGGGAGCTCCACCGAAAGCCCCCGTGGCGCAGTTCGCATGCGCTTCCCCCACCCAGGGCAGCGTTTCGTGGCACCATAGGGAGCTCCACCGAAGGCCCCAGTGGCGCAGTTCGCATGCGGTTCCCCCACCCAGGGCAGCGTTTCGTAGCCCCATAGGGAGCTCCACCGAAGGCCCGCCCCGGTGGCGCAGTCCGCATGCGGTTCCCCCATCCAAGGCAGCGCTTCGTGGCCCCATATGGAGCCCCACCGAAAGCGGCACCCACAACGCGTTACCAACAATTGCTTATGGTTGGGTCTTTCGCCAGGATAATTTTTTTTCTGAGGGAAAGTCTTCCTCTTCAAACTGGGCCCCTGGCCCCCGGGTTACAACAACAACGGCTCTCGCTTAAGATTTCTTCATTATTTCGCCAGGACCCCCGCTCCCGCCTGAGACTTCATCGCATTTCACTCAGGAATCGCACTCTCGCTTGGGACTCCCTTACAAGTTCTTCAGGAATCGCTCTCTCGGCGCTCTGGAGTCGCGCTCTCGCTGGAGACTTGCTTGCACTCTACTCAAGAATAGCGCCCTTGCGTTGGAATTTCCCGGAATTTGCTCAAGCGCCGCGCTCCCGACACTCAGGCACCCAGGAGTCGCGCTCACGTTTAGGACTCCCTCACATATTACTTTGGAATCGGAATCTCGCTGCCCTTCGTGGTTTCGTTGCAGCCCTTTGCTCTCCCGCTGCCCTTCGTGGACCCGTTGCAGCCCTCGTGGCCCCCTCGCTGCCCTTCGTGGCCCCGTTGGAGCCCTTCGTGGCCCCCTCGCTGCCCTTCGTGGCCCCGTTGCAGCCCCTGGTGGCCCACTCGCTGCCCTTTGTGGCCCCGTTGCAGCCCTTCGTGGCCCCGTTGCAGCCCTTCGTGGCCCCCTCGTTGCCCTTCGTGGCCCCGTTGCAGTCCTTCGTGGCCCCCTCGCTGCCCTTCGTGGCCCCGTTGCAGCTCCTGGTGGCCCACTCGCTGCCCTTTCTGGCCCCGTTGCAGCCCTTCGTGGCCCCGTTGCAGCCCTTCGTGGCCCCCTCGTTGCCCTTCGTGGCCCCGTTGCAGTCCTTCGTGGCCCCCTCGCTGCCCTTCGTGGCCCCGTTGCAGCCCCTGGTGGCCCACTCGCTGCCCTTTGTGGCCCCGTTGCAGCCCTTCGTGGCCCCGTTGCAGCCCTTCGTGGCCCCCTCGCTGCCCTTCATGGCCCATCTATGTATGCTCTTCGTGGCCCCCGCTCGTTCGCGCCCGATGTGGCCCCATACGCATTCCCTTCGTGTCCCCGCTGTCGCCCTGCGTGGCCCCCTCGCTGCCCTTCGTGGCCCCGTTGCTGCCCTCAGTGGCCCCGTCCTTGCCGTCCGCGGCCCAATATACGTATGCTCTTCATGGCTCCCGCTCGTTCGCGCCCGTCGTGGCCCCAGATGCATGCCCTTTGTGCCCCCCTCGCTGTCCTACGTGGCCCAGTTGCTGCTCTCAGTGGCCCCGTCGTTGCCATCTGTGGCCTCGCTGCCCTTCATGGCCCATCTATGTATGCTCTTCGTGGCATTCCCTTCGTGTCCCCGCTGTCGCCCTTCGTGGCCTACTTCGTGCCCTTCGTGGCCCTGCTGTCGTTCTCTCTCTCTCGCTCTCGCTTTCGCTCGTCGTCGTCGTCGTCGTCGCCGTCGTCGTCGTCATCGTCGACGTCGTCGCCGCCGTCGTCGTCGTCGTCGTCGTCGTCGTCGTCGTCGTCGTCGTCGTGGTCGGTCCCCTGTCCGTCCCTCCTGGGGTCGGGTTGCCGCCGATCAGCGCTGCCGCTGGCCAGGCCGACGGTCCGCGGCCGCCCCGCCGCTTGCCGGGGCCTGTCCTGCAGGGAAGGAAGGTACACCCCCCAAAGGGGTACGATCGAAGACGAAGAGGGCGGGTGTCGAGGGTTTGGGAAATACGCGTTAACGGGCCCTCGAGCAGATAAGAGGGAACAGTCTTACATTCATTATTGTCGTTGTTGTTGCTGTCGCTGTCGTTGTCGTTGGTTTTGTTGTCGTGGTTGTTCTCGTTGTTGTCATTGTTGTTGATGTTGTCGGTGCTGTTTTTGTTGTGGTTGTTAATGTGGCGGCTGGTGTTGTGGTTGTTGCTGTCGTTGTAGTCGTTGTTGTTGCTGTTGTTGTTGCTGCTGCTGTTGTTGCTGTTGGTTTTGCTGTTGTTGTTGCTGTTGCTATTGTTTCTGCTGCTGTTGCTTTTGCTGTTGTTGTTGTTGTTGTGGTTGTGGTTGTGGCTGGTCGTGGTTGTTGTTATTGTTGCTGTCGTCGGCGTCGTCGTCGTTGTTGTTGTTGTTGTTGGTGTTGTTGTTGCTGTTGTTGCTGTTTTTGTTGTTTGTTGCTGCTGCTGTTGTTTTTGTTGTGGTTGCTGTGGTTGTCGTTGTCGCTGTTGTTGTTGGTATTGTTTTTGTTGTTGTGGTTGCGTTGATTTTGTTGCTGCTGTTGCTGCTGTTGTTGCTGCTGTTGCTGTTGTTGCTGTTCTCAGAACATACCGTTGCTCTGAGAGCACGTCGTGGTCGGCCAATGGGAAGGCCGGCCCCTTCTCCAGAGTTCCAGAACTCCGAGGCCGGGGAAGGCAGAGGAGCTCGGCGGGCACGCCCGCGAGGGGTGAGGCCTCGGCCGTCGTCCGCCGGCCCAGGACCACCTGGACTACCACCACCTCGACCGCATGCTGCGCACCACCGGGCAGACGATCGTGCCCCGCCCGGGGCCGCCGCGAGCTCCCGCCGCCGCGCCGCCCCCCCTCCTCCTCCTCCTCCTCCTCCTCCGCCTCCTCCGCCTCCTCCTCCTCTCCTCCTCTTCCTCCTCCTCCTCCGCCTCCTCCTCCTCCTCCCTCTCCTCCCCCTCTCCTCCTCCTCCTCCTCCTCCTTCTTTTCCTCCTTTTCCTCCTCCTCCTCCTCCTCCTCCTCCTCCTACTCCTCCTCCTCCTCCTCCTCCTCCTCCTCCCTCCTCCGATGCCTCCCCCCTCCGCCGCGAGCTCCCGCCGCCGCCGCTCCCACCGCTTGGCCCCTCAGCCAACGAAGACGGCCCGAGGGAGCTGCGTGCTTCTTGGGGCCGAAGGTCCGAGGAGGAACAGTTTCCGATGCAGCCACCCGTACCTCGTTTTCGCCTCTCTGGGCCTTCTGGGAGGCCCTCGAGCTCGTCAGCACCGCTGGATTCGCTTCGACATTCTGGTCAGAACGCACCCCGGGAGAGGTCCAGGGAGCAGCAGCATCGGGTCCTGATGGCTTCCCCAGAAGGCGATGTCAACAGACGCGCAATCCTCTCAAGCCGGTGCGAGCATGGCACCAGAGCAGTGGGGGTCGAAGGGCGCCGCCTCTGCAGTGTCCCCCCACGTCCGACGGGGTACACCGATCACATCAGCAATCTTAACAAGCAAACGCCAACGTTCATGGGCTATGGATGTCGATCGTGGACGCAATTGAATGCTATGGACTGGGCCCTATGCGTTTTCTTAGAGCTTCGTCGTAGCATCGGTCGATCTGGACCTGGACTACTGCTGAAGACAACGCTCGGAGGGAAGTCAGTTGGTTGTCTTAGCCTGGCACTTTGCTTTTGACTCCAAGCAGGGATGTAGCTTTTCGAGACGCGGACTCCTGAGTGCTCGACTGTCGTCGACCGCTTCTGGGGGGGTCCGCCCTTCCATCCAGTGTCCTGCTGTATGACTGCCCGATGGCCCCGACATTCTCATGACCTCCAGGGGCCCAGGCTCGCCAACAGAACGGCGCGGACTCCTGAGTTCTCGACTGTCGTCGACCGCTTCTGGGGGGCTCCGCCCTTCCATCCAGTGTCCCGCTGTATGACTGCCCGATGGCCCGACACTATCGTGATTTCCAGGGACCCAGGCTCGCCAACAGAAAGGCGCGGACTCCTGAGTTCTCGACTGTTGTCGACCGCTTCTGGGGGGTCCGCTCTTCCATGCAGGGCCCTGCTATACGACTGGCAGATGGCCCCGACATTCTCATGACCTCCAGGGGCCCAGGCTCGCCAACAGAACGGCGCGGACTCCTGAGTGCTCGACTGTCGTCGACCGCTTCTGGGGGGGTCCGCCCTTCCATCCAGTGTCCTGCTGTATGACTGCCCGATGGCCCGACACTATCGTGACCTCCAGGGGCCCAGGCTCGCCAACAAGAAGGCGCGCCGCGCCAGCTCTCCCGCGACGCGCTCGGAGGTCTGGGGCCCGCCCGCCGAACATCCGCGGCTGGCCGCCCCCCGCACTCCCCTCGGCATCCTTCGGACGTGTGCGTGTTTGTGTCGTCGGCGAGGGCCATCGAGGAGCATCCTGGGGTCCTCGTGCGAAGCACAATGGAGACCACGCGCGACACCGACAAGTGCGCGGGGAACGGTGATCGTTGTTTATTCATTGTTTTGCCGATCGGCGCGGGCCCTCGCACCCCACCTCCCCACCCCCCCTGGAGCAGATCTCGGCTGCTTTTGTTGGAGCCTGTCTCAAGAGCAGGTGGAGCCTCCCCCATAGGACGCACTGCTGCAAACAGTCGCATTAAGCAGAGGTCCCCCCCTTCCGCCCAATGTCAAAACGCCGAAGAAGAAAATGCTGACAGTGTCAGAGCCCCAAATCATCAGGGGTAACTCGGGTCAGGGCAAACTCGGGTTCGTTTTTTCGGGAATCCGAACCCGAGTTACCTCGGGCCCGAGTTACCCCGGATAACTCGGGCGTCCAGGGCCCCAAATCATCCAGGCGTAACACGGGTCAGGGCGTCAGGGCTACCTCGGGCTCGTTCTTCGGGAATCCAAATTCCGAGCTACCCCGGGCCCGAGTTGCCCCGAATAACTCGGGCGCCCAACAAGGACCTCCGAGCGGTGGCAGGCTCCCCCCTCGCCCGCCTCGGAAACTGGAGAATATGCATTGCCAGTGGCGTGTGGTTTTTCGGTCCCCCGACTTTTTGGAGGGTCGGGGACGACGTCGGGGTTGTGTGGTGTATACTCTCTCCCCGTTTTCCCGGGGAAACGGCGACGAATGTGTACACCAGGATCCCGTATGCACCAGGACCCGCTCCATTCTTTAAGTTCAATGATAGGACTGTTAGGGTGTCGGAAAGGATCTTGGCCCCCCAAAAAGTCCAAGGAGCTCTCGAAGAATGATTAGACATGAGCACGTTCGAGGGCGCGCTCGCCCTCCGCCGAGGGCGCGCTCGCCCTCCTGCGGCGGCGGCCATGCCGCGGGCGCGGGGCCGGCGACGACAGCGTTGTGGATGCCGCTGCTCGCCGAGGGCGCACGGCAAGCCCAGAAGCTCGCTTCGAGGGGGAAGAAGCGCCATAAGCATACACTGCGTCCATGTCTACTAATTCTTCGAGAGTTCCTAGGTCTTTTTTTGGGGGGGGCCAAGGTCCTTTGCTTTCTGATTCTTCTATGCTGGGCCTCTTCCTGACCACCTGAGGGGCGGGGAACAATAGTAGGAACGAGCAGAATTAGAGACGAGCACGATCAGAAATGAACGACGTGTAAACTTGTGGCGCTCCGCGCGGATTTCTTGGATCCGCGCTGGGCCCCCCCCCCCCTGCGGCGCCTCGGGCGCCGGTTCTGGCGCGCTCCGCGCGCCAGGGAGGGGGGGTCCAGCGCAGACCCAAGAAATCCGCGCGGAGCGCCAACAGTTTATGTCTATGGCATCTTCTGGTGCCGTTCTTCGACGCACCCGCGTGGGCGCAGGACGCTCTCTCAGGGTGCGCTGGGGGAGCGGCGCTTCGGCTCCCTGCTGGCCTCCTGGTAGAGCCAGCCACGCGCAGAGGGGGGTGGGGGGAGGGGGGAGGCTCTTAGCAGCGTCCCCTGCTTCTTAGAGGCGGGGCCTTATCTATGGTGTGAGGACCCGGCGCCTTCTAAGAAGCAGCCCCTTCTAAGAAGCCCTCCCCCCTCCCTCCACCCCCGTGTGCGCGCCGCCAATAGAGGGAGGCTCCGAGGCGCGCAGGCTGCCCACTCGCTCCGCGAGCCCCCCGCTCCCGCCGAGCGTCTGCGCCGCGGCCGCGGGAGCCCCCCGCGCGGCCCCCAGTCGTGCGCCGGAGGGTCACCGCCTGGGAACTGTGGGCATCGCTCGGACGTGTGCATTTTTTTCTCGGCGGGGACCATCGAGCAAGACAAGCAAGGCAACGATCATCGAGCAAGACAAGCACGACAAGCATCCTGGATCATCGAGCAAGACAAGCACGCACAGAGCCGACAAAACGCACAGGGAGGGGACGTCCGAGCGGCGGCAAAGGGGGACCGCTCGCCGCAGAGATGGCGCTCGGGCGGCCGCTGGAGGCCGCCGCACGGAGGCTCTCCGACAAGACTGCCCCGCCAGCGCTGCGGCGAGGCGGGGCAGGCGCTGCGGCGGAGCACCGCCGCCCGTGACCCACGGGGGCTCTCGCGGGCGGGCCCGGGGGCAGCACGCCACCAAGAAGGGGAGAGAAAGAGAGAGAGAGAGAGAGAGAGGATAGAGAGAGAGAGAGAGAGAAAGACAGAGAGAGGGACCCGGCCCTGTGTCGGCTGCTGGCCCGGGATGGCAGTGAGAGGGAGAAGTCGGGGCCCGAGCGACGGGGGTCGATGCAAGCGGGGGTCAGTAGGAGCGCCAGATCTTGCAGGATCCTGCAGGGCCAGGGTGCACTGACCTAGGTCCTGGATGCAGGGTCTTGCCGGATCTTGCAGCATCTTGCAGGATCCTGCACCGCCTGACCGACCCGGGTCTGCATTGACCCAGGTCAGTTGATCCCAGGGGAAGGCCTTCTCGGAAGGCTCGGGAGTCCCCCGGCCTTCTGAGAAGTTTCCTTCAAGCCTTCCCCGCAGACGCAGAAAACTTCTCAGAAGGCCGGAGCGCTTCTGCGAAGCCCCGCCGCCTTCGGAGAAGGCCTTCTGCTTCTCACTTCCCCCCCTCGCTCGCCGCCGACTCTAGGCCCTGGTGGCCAGCCTGGAGCCACAGCTCGGAAAGAGCGCGTTCTGTGGTCGCTTGGAGGGGGGGGGGGGTTGGAACCGGACCCCCCCTGCATGGTGGGGGGGGGGGTCGACCCCCCCCCCTTCCCCTACTTCTCCTCTCTCCCTCTCCTCGGCTGGCGGCGGCGGCGGGGACGACGATTTCCTTTTCTGGGCCGGCGCCAGCGCCTGCGGCGGCGGGCGGCGGCGGGGAGCGTCGACGAGGACGACGGTGGTGGTGGTGGTGGTGGTGGTGGTGGTGGCGGTGGTGGTGGTGGGTTGTGGTGGTGGTGGTGGCGGTGGTGGTGGTGGCGGTGGTGGTGGTTGTGGTGCTTGTGGTGTGGTGGTTTGTTGTTGTTGTGGTAGTGGTGGTGGTGGTTGTGGCGGGTGGTGGTGGTGGTGGTTTGTCGGTTGGTCGGTGTTGGAGTTGTGGTGGTGGTGGTTGTCGGTGGTTTGGTGGTGGTTTGGTGGTGTGGTTTGTGGTGGTGGTGGTGGATTGTGGTGGTGGCGGCTGTGGTGGTGGTGGTGTGGTGGTTTGTGGTGGGGGTGGTGGGTTGTGCTGCTGGTAGCGGTGGTGGTTGTGGCGGAGGTCGCGGTGGCGTGGTAGATTGTGGTGGTGGTGGTGGTGGTGTGGTGGTTTGTGGTGGTGGTGGTGGGTTGTGCTGCTGGTAGCGGTGGTGGTTGTGGCGGGGGTGGTGGTGGCGTTGTAGATTGTGGTGGTGGTGGTGGTCGTGGTGGTGCGTCGGTGGGTTTTTGTGGTGGTGGTGGTGATGGTGAGTTGTGG